AAACGGATAGTAAGGAAGGTCCTGCTATTAGTTTAGTAGTAGTTGTTAGGGCTTCCTAAAGGCGACGGAGCTCGAGGAGGTTATCCTTTAGCTACTATTCTTAACGTAGGGCAGTAAGCCTGTTTTAGGTAGCTTCTTAAAGTCTCCCTACTAGTTAGGGGCTAAAGGCTAGTTAGCTATATCGTCGATTAACAATGTTGTTAATAATATCGTTAATAGGCAATTCTAGATTATTACCTAGAACTATACGTTCTTTAGAAGGCCCTCTAGTAGGCTCTTTAGCGGGCACTTTAGTAGGCACTGTACTACTAGTGTTGTTATTGCTAGCGCTACTAGTAGCGCCGCGGTTATTGTTGTTATTGTTTCGTAATAAGCCGGCTATTATAATAAGGGGTAACACTAATAATATATTATAGCCCCTTATAGTACGGATATAGCGGAATTAGTAAGTATCGGCCTAGTATAATTGACTTAGTATAATAGGCTATATAGAAGGCCTTGCTTAATATTTAGTACGGTTGTTTTAGTAGAATAGTACGTATAGGTCCCGTTCTTCGGGCGTAATATAGTTAAATCGATAGTTTTCGTAGCTATACCGCTAAAAGCTTAAAATAAGGACTATCTAGCTACTGCCCTTAAAGGGTAGATCGAATACTATATAAGAAGGGGTTATATTAGCAGGTAGATAGGGTAGTAGTAGGTATAAGTAGTATTCGATAAGGATCTAGAAGGAGAAGGAGGAAGGTAGGCTAGTTAGCCTAACGCTAAGCGCTAAGCCCTACCTAAGGCACTAAGACCCTAGCTTCACTCGGTCTAGTTACATACTAATTACGTATAGCCTCTTTAGCCTTAATAGTAGTAGTTAAGGTTCGCTTTACTTAAAGGGTCGGAAAGATCGAGGAGTAACTTATTATCTATAAGATCGACCCTAGCTAGCTTAGCTCTATATTTTTGCCCTTAGTTAGCCTATTAACTATCTAATCTTTTAAGCGGCTCTCTATAACCTTAGCCTAGTCTTAAAGTTTTAATTAAACTCTTAATATAGTCGTTCTTTTAACTTAGTTAGTATAGTAGGCTCCGGCTTTAGGCTCGTAGTATAGGTAAGGTTGTTCCTATAGGTATAGTAATAATAGCAAGTAATGTTAATAATAGCGGCGCTAGCCGTCTTAGCGCTAACTTTACCTTACTTCTAGTTTCCTTCTTTAACTATAACTAATAATAATATTATCGATACGACTATATCGGCTTCTAACGTATCGCTAGCTCGTAGCGCGACGCTATTATTATTATTATTATTATTATTATTATTATTATTATTATTATTATTATTATTATTATTATTATTATTATTATTATTATTATTATTATTATTATTATTATTATTATTATTATTATTATTATTATTATTATTATTATTATTATTATTATTATTATTATTATTATTATTATTATTATTATTATTATTATTATTATTATTATTATTATTATTATTATTATTATTATTATTATTATTATTATTATTATTATTATTATTATTATTATTATTATTATTATTATTATTATTATTATTATTATTATTATTATTATTATTATTATTATTATTATTATTATTATTATTATTATTATTATTATTATTATTATTATTATTATTATTATTATTATTATTATTATTATTATTATTATTATTATTATTATTATTAT